GACAAAATTTTCGGGTATAAGCTTCCGAGAGTCAACGCTCCCTTCGTCAGATACTCTTGAAAGTTCGTACCCTGAGAATCTGGTTCGTCTCTAAGATGCTACTGGACACGAATCAAGCTGTTCTCCCGCTCACCAACACGGCCACCCTCTGAAACTACATTCAGACTTCCGTTTTCTCAACCAGAGCCATTGCAAAGCCATAAGGCTAGAAGAAAACCAAAGAACCATGAACTCATGAAGTTGCCTCCTACTGAACCAGAACTTTGGTCCATCAAGGCCAGTGCTGTCTACTCAGACTGGCAGCACCTCCCCAGGGTCTCAGGCAGAGGTCTTTCACATCACCTCCTACCAGATACTTGAACTGGAGATGCTGGGGATTGAACCTGGGACCTTCTGCATGCAAAGCAGAGGCTCTAGCACCAAGAATGATAAAAAGGGTTGGAACACTTTCCCTATGAAGAAAGGTTAACGCTCCTGGGGCTCTTTAGCTTGGAGAAACGACGGCTGAGGGGTGACACGATCGAGGTTTATAAGATGATGCATGGGATAGAGCAGGTCAAGAAAGAAGTCCTTGGCAAGCTATCGTTCTGCCTGAGCTGTTCTTGAAAAAGAGCAGTTTCTGTCAAGAGCTCTCTCAGCCCCACCGACTTCACAGTGTGTCTGTTGTGGGGAGGGGAAGGGAAAGGAGTTTGTAAGCCGCTCTGAGAAGGGCGGGGTATAAATCCAATCTCCTCCTCCTCCTCCTCCTCCTCCTCCTCCTCCTCCTCCTCTTCTTCTTCTTCTTCTTCTTCTTCTTCTTCTTCTTCTTCTCTCTGAAGCTAAGCATGGTTGTTCCTAGTAACCCTGGTTAGTACTTGGATGGGAGACCACCAAGGAAGTCAAGGGTTGCTACGCAGAGGCAGGCAAGGGCAAACCTCCTCTGCTTGTGTCTTGCTTTGAAAACCATCTGGGGTCGCCATAAGTTGGCTGTGACTTGACATCATCATCATCGTAATAGTCAGGGCTATTTTTGGGCAGGAACGCACAGGAACGGAGTTCCGGCTGGCTCCTGAGTTGGCCACGCCCAGCAGGAACATTAGCATAACAGGCCACACCCAACAGCAGAAACTCATTAGGATTGGCTACATTAGGGGTGTGTGGCCTAACATGCAAATGAGTTCCTGCTACAAAAAAAGCCCTGGGTTTTGACAACAAACAAGGTAAACAGAATAACAAGCAAAGGGTGGGTATGGCTGGATAACCACACTTCTGGTAACATGGGGGTGCGGCTTAATGTGCTAATGAGCTGCTCTGTCAGGGGTGTGGCCTATTAGGCTAATGAGTTTCTGCTGTTGGGTGTGGCCTATTATGCTAATGAGTTCCTGCTGGGCTTTTTCTACAAAAAAAGCCCTGGTAATAGTAATAATAATAATATTTTCACCCCACAGTTGTGAGAGCACTCT